ACACCCCCCCCCCCCCCCCCTTCCCGGTTTTGGTGGTAATTATATGTAGTTGAGTTTAAAGGAAGTGTTTGGTTCCTTGAAGTTACTCTTAAAAGCAGCCAGAGGAAGGAGAGTATCACAATCTCAAATGTGACATTTAAGAGTGTATCCTGAAAGTGATAAAATTATAATCTCAATTATTATTAACTGGTTACCCATACATTCATTATGACAAATAACTTCTAATCAATTTGCAAGTACTATATCCATGGGATTTGAAAGGAAAAATTAGAGTGTAACTTCCTAACATTTCAATTAGAGTGGTCTTCAAAATTTCAAAATGAGGTTTGGTGGGAGTGAGCATTTTTTCCCAAAATCGATGGAATTGGACCAGAACCAAATAGAACCGGTCAATTCAATCTAGTTTCTTTACTAAATGGGTCGACTTTGGGATCGTGCATCTAGAACCGATCGGTTTCAATATGGTTTTCGGTATTATCTTGATAATCAATAGTGACAAATTTCTCTTTTTACTTGCATTAAGATATGCTAGATTTTTAAACACTAGACCCAAAATTATCTCACGTTAAAATTTCATTTTCCATACGCTTTTTCTTTTCTTTAATGGGTCATTATAATTAAAATTAAAATTAAAATAATTTTATAACTACTTTATAAATTCCAACCCAATAGAAAAAAAAAAAGTATTTTTAGTTCAATATTTCACGGGAATTCAAATTTCTCGTTGTTTTCAAAGTGATCGGCCATTAAGAATCAAGATCCTAGAGAATTATTAAAGATAATTAGGTTATTGTTAGATGGATTTTAGTAAAAATTAATTTTCGATCAAGATTTTACCATTTATGATGTGTTCCATAGTTTATTCCCCCTTTTTTTTCTCGCTTTTATGGGTTGATTTTGAGCTTTGAAGTGTTCCCCTTTTTTTTTTTTTTTTTTCGCTTTTATAAGTTGATTTTGAGCTTTGAAGTGAATTTTTGTTTGTTCCCTTGTTTAATTGGTTTTTTGTGTTATTATATTACAAGAATGACAAGTGATTTCATACTCTATTTTTACCTATTTTCAGTCTCACAAGTAGTTTCATATTTTATTTTTACAATTTTTTCAATATATAGACTCGGATCGGACCAAATGGAAACTAGTTGGTTAGGTTCAAATTCAATTCTATAGTTGGATATGGAACCAATGGTTTCATTTTAAATATTTGTATTGGTACTCGGTTCGATTCTCTTGAGAATTGAATCGAACTGAACCATGTGCACTCCTAGATTTTAGGCCCTAACTTATTTATGTATGTAAAGTTGAACTCAAAGTTATCAAAGATATATTCAAATTTGTGAATTTAGGCATTCACTTTTGAGTGTTAAAATTGCAGGTGAAAATTTTGGACAAAATTATTAAGTTATTAAACGTCCAGCTTTAAGTAAGGTGGAAGTTGCAATTTTAATTTTTACATAAGCTATATGGCCTAGACTTGGGATGACCCACCTAAGATCGAAACCAGCCTATGTGCACCACCGTCATGGCTTGGATTTTTTCGAGTTTATTTGTTTAACCTTATCATGAAGGCCGACCCAGTTACTCAGTTAGCATAGTTATTATAAGTTGAAAGAAATTAAAATAGTGCTCTCTATCACACAATATTCAACCTTTTCAGTTATAATAAATTTTATTTAAATCACATTACATTATCGAAAGATAAAATAAAAAATAAAAAAATGTTGTCTTTACACCAATTTATGTGACATTATGTGATATGTTCAATTAAAGATCAAATTGTGTAATTCAGTTAACTGTACATATTAGCACTTAGTGACACCTGGAATGATGTAATATCAGTAGTGCTAAATAACATTATTCTAAAAACAAACAATAAAAATGACGAGTTGGATCGACTCAATCTACAATATTGATTGGTGCATGGGCCGATTAGATCTTTAGTTTTGTGAGATGATCTAGGTCTAATCAAATCATATTGTGGACGAGTCGATTCCAATTTCCAATGAACCTAACTGTAGAGGGATTGTTCCAGTCTCCTCTGATAATTCCTATTCTCATCATGTAAAGATTTAGATCCACAAATTTAAATAGGTAAAGATGTATCAATTCCTGTTTGTTTTTCATTTTTTTCGAAATTCTTTTTTCTATATACTCATTTTCAATCACGCATTTACACAATAAAATATTACACACACACACACACACACACACACATATATATATATATATATATATATTCTAGACAATTTTTATTTTTATTTTTTTCAAAAAAAATGACCACCTGGCTCACTATAAAAGGTTGGAAGCACAATCTTAATTATTTCCATCGAGGGTTTAGTTGTAAGTTTTAAAATAACACCTTTTTCGTCATTGTTGAAAAGTTGAACCTTGAAAAAAAAATGGAGGTAAAGAGTCACGAGTCATAGTTAAATAAATAAACAAATAAAAGAAAAAAATTACAACAGTGCAAATCAAAACTAGTCTTACATTTTGTGTCAGTAACGATCATCAAAACAAATTTAGGATCTATTTGAGTCTATTTTTATATAGAATAATCTTTATAATAATGATTTTTTGAAGAATGTATAATTAAAAAATAAAAATAAAAAAATTTAAATTTAAGTATAATTTATAAAATTATTCTATTGTACCAAGCTTAATTAAAAAATAAATATAAGGAAAAATGAATTTTTATAGAGTGAAGCTCAAATAATGGCCTAATCATTAGCTGCTTTGCCAAGAAACATGTCCAGGTTCAATGTATACATACATGTGCATATATCCAAGAAAGGGTGAAAAGTAGATAATTTGTTCTGAGCGTCATGGGAGAAATTGATGAAGCCTTCATCCAATCAATTGAACACAGACCAAAATCCACCACAGTTGATGCTCAAGGCATCCCTGTAATCGATCTTTCTGCACTAAACTGTCAGCACTGCTCATCCAATTCCAGCAGTTCAGTGGAAGATCTTATTGTACAAGTAGGTGAAGCCTGTAAAAACTGGGGTTTCTTCCAGGTGATTAAAACCGAGGGTCTCGTGTATTCATTTGAATCTTAACAATTAATTTTTAGTTGAACGACACAATTTTATAAATGGGTGGCAGACTGGCAGCAAAACTTCGATTAATCTTTTGCCAGCCCAGATACCATGTTAACCACGTCATCTAAAAACGTTGATAAGGGTCAGTGTATTCATTTAAATCTTGTCTTTCGACGCAGGTGATTAATCATGGGGTTCCATCAAGCTGCAGGGAAAAGGTGGAGGTTGCTTCGAGGGCCTTTTTCCGGCAGCCATCGGAGGAGAAAAGGAAGGTTAGAAGAGATGAGACTAATTCAATGGGGTTTTATGATACTGAGCATACGAAAAATGTTAGGGATTGGAAACAGGTTTTTGATTTCACGGTGGAGAATCCGACCGTGGTACCAGCTTCTCATGAGCCTGATGATGTTCGGTTGCAGGAGATTGTCAATCGATGGCCTGATTATCCTCCTAATTTTAGGTAAATGGCATTTTAATATGGTAGTTAAATTTTTTATGATGAACTGAATAATTTTCTGTTTTATCCCGGTATAATATTCGGCTAGAGGAGGATCTCGATAAGGGTATAATTTCTTTGCATAGATGATAAAGAATGAAAAACTTTAACAATATCCCAAGCAGACGTTAAAAACTTATGCATTGTCATGTCCAATGCTGCATATCAAACAGCCGTATAGGTTATTCAAGAATGATGTTTTTCCATTCTGCAAATTAAGACATTCTGAGCAGAGCACAACAATGAAATTTATTCCATACCGATGGCAAGATTTGGCTCAAATATGAGTAAGGGATTTTTCTTCAACTCTTGATCAGGGGGGCCTGTGAAGAATACACCAGAGAAATCGAAAAACTAGCTTATAAGTTGCTGGAGTTGATATCCTTGAGCCTGGGGTTGCCAGCAGAGAAACTTAATGGCTTCTTCAAAAACCAAACAAGTTTTATGAGACTCAACTACTATCCTGTATGCCCCTTTCCTCACCTAGCCCTCGGCGTGGGTCGACACAAGGATTCCGGGGCATTAACTGTCCTTTCTCAAGATGATGTTGGGGGACTAGAAGTGAAGAGGAAAACAGATGGAGAATGGGTTCTAGTTAGACCAACCCCAAATGCTTATATTATCAATGTTGGAGATGTGATTCAGGTATGTAGATCGACCCTTTTATTTGATACGATCATTGATCATCAACTGATAGGAAAACTGGTAAAATTGGGTACTATTAGTCTTCATGATGAGTACGGACATGATTTTGACCATATTAACATTGATTGAACGTATCGTGAAATGTTTTTTAAGGGAACTATCCCGAGCCAACTGGCATTGTGATTTAGATTCTTTCGGACAGGAAGATAATTCTTATATCTAAACTGTTGCTCGGGTTGAACGGTTGAACCAGTTTAGTGGTTAGCTCAATGTGATGTGTATAAATGCATATTTATACAACTAAAATGATGCTAGTGTCAAAACGTGCCAGGCTGCACGGCCTAGCCGGACTCTGGTTGTGCCTTCGCTGTCTGCATGGTCCTATATTTAAAGAAAAAGACTAACAGCCTAAATAAAAAAAGGGCAGTGTCGATCACTCCTCTAGCTGGTCCAAATTCGGATAAAGGTAGAAAGTCACGACCATAGTTATTAAAATCGGACCAAACTAGCCGGTTTAGCAAGGGAACTGGTGAACCAAACAGTGATCTGGTCCGGTTAGCAATAATTGATACAATTACGAATGAAACGGTCAAGAACCATAAAAACTGGTTCATTACTGCCTTAAGCCGGCGGTTTTCGGAGGAAATTGGAGCTGGTCCAGATTGAACCGGTTTTTATCGCACATGTAGAATCCTTGCTATTATTGTGAGTGAAATATATATATACGAAAATGATCTCCTAAGCACTTGTCCTTAGCCTATATTAAGCACCGGTGACATGACACGACACGACATTTAATTGGTGAATAAGTTAATGGTAAGTCTCATGTATTTAATGATTCACTAATTGAATGATGTGTCATGTCATCGGTACAGGTACTTAACATAAGTTAAGCATCGGTGTTTAGGAGACTATTCCTATACATATATATAATTTGCTATAAAAATTAAAAATAAGATCTAGCAATGACCCATCGATCGAACCATTGACCCACCAATTGAACCCCGAACATGGTGACCAGATGATTTTTTTGAGTCGAGGACCGGTTGGGTTTGATAAGTATGGTCATGACGGGTTAATGATAAACGAATGCATATGTTTTCCTGCAGGTTTGGAGCAATGACAAGTATGAGAGTGTGGAACACAGAGTGATGGTGAACTCTGAGAGGGAGAGATTTTCCATCCCATTCTTCTTTAACCCATCTCATACAGTCATGGTGGAACCTTTGAAGGAGTTGACAAGCAAACAAAACCCTGCAAGATATAAGCCATACAACTGGGGAAAGTTTCATACCACCAGGAACATCAGTAACTTCAAGAAGCTCGATGTGGAAAATATTCAGATTCATCATTTCAGAATATGAAACAGAAGAAATTAATTATTTTGTATACCCCAAAAAATGCTGGAATTGAGGAGGCAAACGCATTATGGTAATTTGTCTTTAGGCTTGTTAATCCATCATACTGTCGTAGATTTACCAACGATCTAGTCATTTGGGATATCTTACTAGATCTAGCAATGAACTGCCTCGAGTTATAAAAATGCATGTACGCAAACTCTAAATAGACATCATCATTTATTCAGATTTACTGTGATATAAGTAGCTAGATTATATTTTTCGGTATTGTCGCTTTATATTAATATTTCATCTATGATTTTTACTTCACAGTCGATATCTGATTTTATACTGTTGAACTGCAAAGTATCGTTTTAGAGACCCTTGTGTATGAGGGTACTCCTAGGTACTTGCATAGGTCTACAGTAAGAGGAATTTGACATCTAGCACTAATCTTCTGAGTTGTAAGCTTGTAAAAGTTGGGTTGAAACAAACAATTTGTAAGCTCGTAAAAGTTGGGTTGAAACAAACAATTTTTCTAAATATAAAACAAACAGGAAAAGGGACAAAAGATCCCTTGTCCCATGCCCTTGCGAGGTGTGAAACATCCAGTAGCTTCCCATTCCATATAACTGAAAGCCTTGTGGTAGGGACACATTCCATTATCATGGAAATTAAATTTTGAGGTAGGCCAATTTCCATAGCAATTTAAATATCCATTTCGAATTGTGATCTCATTTCTGTGAAATATATACACAGTAAAAAAAGTATAATTATTTTTGAACTTCCTATATAGAGACCATAATTTCGTATATTTTTAATGCTTTTCTTATTAGGTAAATTTGAATTTTGACAGCATGAAGAGCTTGACAATTCTAGCATGACAAGGTCACTCGTACATCTCATTTGAATTGAGATTCAAAATTTATTGAGAAATAAGGCTTAAAGTAGGTTTGGCTGCACCACTTTCAGTCTCCATCCATGTTCGAGAAGTTAGGGTCCGTTTTATAATACCCAATTCCATTAAAAATGTCACATCCGACGAATTCATTTTCTACTTTGGCTATTTGATACGAAAGTGGAATTGGAGTTCGAATTTCAAGGTACAAACACTTAAAGTATATTTTTGGCCAATTCCATAGAAATCGAATTCTTATGATTTTGGGGTTTTTTCTTTCCCAACTTACATGGAATTAATTTGCCTTTTTCACATTTACAATCGAACGGACCCTAAATTTTTTCAGAAGTAATTCAAAAAGAGAACTTATTTATTTGAAAACTGTCTTTATAAACAAGGATGAGTAATGTTATGGAACCCATTGGGGTTACAATCCCTAGTCTATGTGACATTAGATGATAAGCTAAATAAAATATGAAATTAAATAAAGAATAATGCTATTCGCAGTGAAGACTACCGACAGTCGCTCTATATAACGTATACTTAACAGTTTCTTATTTGATGTATAATTCAAAAAATAACTACCATATCTATGTATCAAATAACAAATTACCAAGTATATGCCACATAGGGCGACTACTGGTAGTTTTCAATACGAATAACATTACTCTTAAATAAATCATTCAATTCTACTTATCATTTAAATCTGTTGATAAGTTTACCTGTTTTCGAGGTATCTATTCTTACTAGAATACCTTGTTTTGACCGTATCACTTCTGTTTTTTCTTCTTTCGCATAGGGTTTACCTCCTATTAATGAATCATAAGTATTTATCTATAATATATTAAAAAAAAAAAAAGATTAAAGCCCGCGATAGCAACGAAATCAGGGAAAGTATACAGAAAAGATAGTTCTTTTTTATTATATTAGTATTTCCTATTATATTCCACAATTGCCGCGAGCAAACATATTAATGACAAAGAATGCATTTTTGTTATGCTCCCACCTTAACATCATCTAAGTTGGAGTTGTAAACCCAGTAAAGCCAAATAGAATTACTCAACAAGTATACTAGGAAAAATGCATACCCATACATCACCTTATTATGAGCCATTTGGCATGACTATTAAAAAATCAAAAGTCATTTTAAAAACGAAGCTAATTTTTAATATATTTACATAATTTTTTAGAAGATTGTAATGTCCCAAAAATTCATAAAATAGAATTTAAGTTATGTGTGTTATATTTTAATATTTTGAAAAGTTAGGGACTAAAATGATATATAGCAAATTTCAATTTCATTTAGGTTAAAATGTAGATAGTGGCGGAACAATAATTAGTATATGAATATTGGGTTCGTTGGATAGATCATAGTAAATCATGCACGTTAGATTCGAGAAAAAGTTGATTCAGATAAGCTAAGTTTAAGATATTGACGTTTAAAGAAATTGAAATTTTATAATATTTTATTTACTTTAACTAGTTTTTGTCATTTACCCGTCAACTTGATTTCTTGTTAGAAACATCCTAACCACTAATAAACTAACCCAAATTTATACACTCTTAACTCCCTAGCTCCAACCACGTTTTCACGTACAGAAGAAAATGGTAACTGCCTTCCTATTTTATTGTGATAAGTTTAAAAGGTAGTCATGATCTTATCACTTAAGACCTTGTGGCACGCATTTCCACCATCCTACAATTCTATTTGCACCAAAATTCATCACAGATATACGCATACACTCACGCGCATGACAAATTCAAAAAAGGATATTTATTTCCAACATAAATAAACACAGAAAGAGTTCCATAATTTTACCACAAAAATATATACATAAGCATTATGTAGAAGACAATGTCAATTTTTTAAAAGGCAACCAAGAAAATTAGAAGATTTGAAACGTAATTTTTGGACTTCATCTTTCAAGAATTTATTCAATCTTACGAGGTGGGATATTGAGGTGCAGTGTTTTTTTTTTTTTTAATCCCCGTTTAAATTTTTTTTTATGCTGATGATTTTTATACTTATGAAAGTTAATGTTATGATATGATATGATATGCTATGATATGAATGATATGGCTATTCCGATACAAAAATATGATACGAGACAGATTTAAAGATATGAAATGATATGATTTTCTGATCCATGCTTTAAAATTATTATACGGGATCGCACAATTGATTTTTATATCCTATTGAGTATTTCCATATACTCACCTTTTTCCCTACTCCTCACAGGTTAGATTGGGTCGTTGGTCGGTAGATGACGAGTTGCTGTCGTTGAGCCAAGATTATGTAATGTGACCAAAGATATTAATTTCAACTTTTGTTTTAATTTAATTATTATGTGGATATGTGATTTAGGATTTGGGACAAAGTTTATTTGATTATGTTTTTTATGATTTATTTTAATTATTTTATATTAGTGGAACCAAAACTTTATTCACAATTAATTATTCAGAATAAAACGTAATAGGGTGTATTTGATCTTATCACATGAATTGAGATTTTTGGTAGCGGGGGAATTGGGGCCACTGGAAGTCTAAATTGACAGTGAAATGCCTTACCAAGTTGTTACACAGAGAAAATTAACGACAAGTTGACGAAAGTTCCTTTTAGTAATTTATTTGTGCTAGCGAGTTTCCATATATTTACATTAACATAACAAATTTGATGTTGCGATAATAAACCGAGAGAATAAGTATTATACATATTCGAATTTGTTTTATGAATCTTTAATTGGTTGGTTATAGACTTTAGGTCGTGTTTAATTATGTTTTAATTCATAAATTTTAGATATAAATTTAATTGTATCTTTCTAAATATATAAGAATAAAATATGACGTAGATACATCCTTGTTCTCTCCTTTTATTATTAAGGGGTATTAAATTTTTACTTCGAGTAAGCCATCTTAAAAAAATTAATTGATAACTAGTTAATTGTCACGTTAAAAAAGAAATTTTTGGCTGCGATTCGAATTTATAAAAGTTGGGTCTTTACTTTATTTTTTAGAAGAGCTTTTGTAGAAAGCTGACCTGATATAACTTACTCAAAATGCTCTTCTACAAATAGCATAAGCAAAATCGAGAGTCCAGTCAAACGGACTTCAAAATCAATTAGAAAGGCAAAGAAATATGGATTATTCTCTTTGTACCGAGGGGTGTTTACCGAAGCGTTTACCCCCCCTCTCACAAACACGCAGGCCCCACGTGTATTTAATAATTTCGAGCCGTGGTCCCCACCTTGATGATGTGAGCAGGGTGTAAACGGTCAGGTAAATCATTATGTACGTGTAGCACGGTCCAAAAAATATATCCTATTGTGGCATTATTTCATGTACCAAGTTACAAATATGTCAGAACAAATAATTTACTTATTCAGAAGATCAGAAAAATAAGTTCTCAATGTAAATTGTTTACTAGCATAAAGAAAAAACTATTTGTTTTGTCAAGGGCAAAATTTTGAAACTGAAGCATGCTCACGCAGATAAATATAGAAATTCTTTAACCTAATGGATACATGCAATTGAACAAATGACATACTGACATGTACAGGCGAGAGTGAGAAGGCAGGCACGATGCATCAACGACTATTATCAAGTTGCAGCATAAGCCGGCAGCAGGCCTACTCCCTCTAGCAAAGAGTAATTAGCAAACTGATCTGACACAATTACCCCTCTTTGCCCTGGCAATTCTATGCTTTCTGATCTACTGATCATGATTATCACTGTTTATAAAAGTCTTTATTTTGACCACTGACAATGCAAGTTTCATCGCTTGAATACATCTGAACTGAAGATCCATTCGCATGTTGCAAACCTTGAGGGGTTGTGGTTGCTAGAATTTAATTGAATTCATCAATCTCCAACTGCTGCTGTACATGCATCAGGGAATGGCTCTCTAGCATCTTATTCAACCCAAGGCCTTGTGACGAACAACGATATCTCCAGAAGTATTATGCTCAACGCCTACAGTTTTTGCGTTATCCAACGAAGCAACATCAACAGTCGTGTTAGTGTCTTCATTACTTGGATCCACTTTTTTAGCCCCTTCAACAACATTCAAGCCTTCAGCAAAATCCATCTGCACTGGAGCAACAGACTTCGATACAGATGGAGTACTGTCAATTTCAAAATCAGCATTCAGTATGCAACTTGATGAAGCTAGTCCATTGGACGTGCCCGCATTTACATTTCGCAAGTCTATAGCTCCATTTTCTTTACTGTCACCCGATGCTTCAGTTATATCAGCAAGTGATGAATGAACTGGACTTAATGCTGAAGGAGAAGTATTGGTCATTTTGGGTTCAGCATTCAATGTATCAGAATTGACAGGCAGAACTGTGCCACCTTTTGATTCATCAAGCTGACGGATATTGGCACATCGATCTAGGAACTTGTTTGTTGATAAAGAGTCATCAATAGACAGTGGCTCCAACTCCATCACACTAGCAAAATTATTTTTGTCCAAGGTATCATCTTCAGAACCATCTGGATTGCTGAATGCATCAGCACCCGTAGAAGGAAGGTTCTCTACTTCTAAGCCAGCAACCCCAAGAATGTATCCATTCTGACTGACGAGAGCAGTTGATTCATCCCGATCAATAATTAATTGAGGCACTGAAGTACAATTGGACGATGAATGAACTTCCACCCCAGCATCGACATTTTCTCTGGTCACATGATGCAACAGATCACTGCCCATATCGTTAGAGAGTGAACGCTTGCGCTTCAGTGCAGAGCCATTCTCATTGTGAGCTGATACAGTCCCATTAAGATAGAGGTCCTTGTGTACTAGTTCTCTATCTTGGCTGTCCATGATTGGCTTAGAGATCTGCTGCTCGATAGGATTTACTTTGAACTGGTAGCTTTCAGGACCAATTTGTGCATTCAACTGCATCTGTACCCAAACTGCTAGAGAAACAGAATGATCACGAATCAAAGAATCAAAAGGTGAGCAGCGTAGCATATTAATCAAAGCTTGGTTATACTGAAACATGCTGATAGACGGTGTAATAGTCCCTTTATCACGGCAAAATTTAATGGTTTTGAAAATGTGCTCACACAAGTTCCCCATTTTTGCCCAACTACAATCACAAAATGCATATTCTGAACCAGGATTCCATACTATATGAGTTGTATCTTGATCTTCCTGGTCAATAACCTTGGCACATTTACCTTCCATGATAACATTAGGATCTGGGATCTTCAATGATTTACGCCACGCTGTTAAGCCACTCATCCATTCATCCTTCCAATATCGTGCAAAATCATCCTTGCCTGAGTACTCATCAAGCCAGAAGTACGAGTGCACTTTGGTACCCAGCTTATTAACCAGCCAATCAGAACGTTGGTATTCGCTTTGGTCCTTCTCATTCAACAACCTAAGCTTCATTTGGTTGTGATAAAACTCCATTGCTGCACAGGTTTCTAGGCTGGCAAGAGGAAGAGTTTTAAGTGCACTTTCCCACATACCTGATCATTAGAGTCCTGTTAGGAAAAAAATAGAAATGTACTTGAAAGAGATAAGAGAAATTTAGCTCTCATTGTGCAAATTAAATCTTTATTACATTGAATTAAGTTGATTTTTCCAACAATGATAACTGTGTGCTTAATATTTGAAGCAACTTACAAAAATATAGGAGATGATAGTCAGCATAACAAAAATTTAACCAAGTATGTGGTTTGCCATCAAGTGAAATAAAAACTTCACCAGTTTCAGCAAAAGGCAAAAGCTACAGGAGATGTACTTAATGCATCTCAAGTATGACGATGCATGTGGTAATTCTCATTTTAGTGAGTATATCTTACCTAGTCTTGGATACCAATTTGCCTTGTAGTAGTCCATGAAATCAGCTGCATCTGCAAAATCTTCCATAATATCTTTAAACAAATTGGCAGTGCCAGATCCTTTGCAAATTTTGTTTACTGATAGACCAAGCCTCTTCGCTATTTCAGCACACACCTCCATTTCTGAGCATCTCTTTAACAAGTTTTTATGCCATGCATGACGAACCCGCCAAAAGCATATCAATACAGAGCATTCAAAGACTTCCCTGAATAACATGCAAAAAAGAAGAGACTCTAGAATTCATTCAAGTGATATTCAACAAACCATTTTTGCACAAAGCAAAATAAAGGTGAAGAGAACATAACAATCCCAAAGTTCCATTACTTTAACAGGATAATAAAATTCCAACAAGTCAGCAAAAGAGATTGAGCTAGTTGTTGATCACTTTTCAGATCTAAAAAGTACTATTTCTAATATAGTATTGTAGTCGCATAACAAATGCAACATTTATTTAATCATGTTTTCAAGTTTGAACGATGGTTTTAATTTTTCTACATACGGAACCCTATATGCAGCAACACAATGACCAATTTAACTTATAAAATTCCCAACCTGCAAAAAGAAAAAGGACTGAGAAAGAATAACATACAAAGAAAGAAAGATAAGGCTAACAAGAACGAAGAAGATCATTGAGCAAACTTTAACTCTATTACAAGCCAAAATAAATATAAGACTTTTCCAAAACAAATAAACACTGTAAACCATCCACATCAACTAACTTCAGATGCAGACCCTAGGAGCAAACCTGATTGCTAGGACATCAGCCAAAGGGTCATCCACAATAAACCCAGCCAACTTCCATGTAGGATCTTTTGCACGAACTCTATTGTGAAGTGCCCTCATCCATCTATGCATTTCTCCTCTTGCAAATCTAGGAGATATTATCCAAGCTACAGGGATAGCCTTGTTGTCTGAGTTGAACACAACAAGACTGTGAATTGGATACTGGATATAATTGCAACAGAATAGTGAAGTAAGATTTAAGAAATTAAGTGCTTTATGTAATTGATGAGTGAAAAACAATTTTAAGAAAAATGGAGCAAACCTTCAGCTTATTTGACCCAAACTTTGAATCAGATGCCAAGAGTCTGCGATTTCCAAACCGGA